ATCCTTTAATAAAACAACTTAAAACATGAGAAAAGAATATTTCAGTCATGACTACGGGATAGACTCACATAATACTTTTCCTGGAACTCTTGCTACTATTGGGAACTTATTATTAGGGACCCCATGTCACTTAAGTTGTTGTGGAATGAGATATAGTAGAATAATGAGAACTTGATTCTTGATGTCTCGTCATTGGAGAATTTTATTTCAAAAAGTAAAATGAATAGCTATACCTCTCTTTTGTGGTAAGCAATGTCCTACTAGAGCCAAATATGATAGACTAGGAAACCTTCTACATATACTGCTTGCTATTGTATTGAGTTTGGTCAAACCTTGTGACCCTTGTTGAGAAACTTATCATGCTCTCAAGATCAAGATCACGTACACTCCACATATAACTGCTGCTCCTACACTAGGAGTATGCAACAACATGTTTTCCATCCACCCAAAAATGCTCTACTCCTACACTAGGAATAGACACAAAAATATGTTTGATAGAATAAATGCTCCAAGTTCTTGAATGTCTCTCTTGAAAAGTTTCAATTGTAGAAAAAGAGGCATGGGCTATGCAAAAGTTATTCATGAAAAGAAAGAGAGAGAAAAAAGTATTGAAAAAATGGACAAGTGTCTGAGATATCTAAAACAATGGGTTCTCAAATGCTCGCCTGAAAAAAATGAATAAGATAGCCCATGTGTTCTTGCAAAGTATTTTCAAGTTTCAAACAAGAGAGATATGTTTCAAGGAGCATAGTAGAATTAGGTTAGCCACCATATACATATCCACACACATGCACATCTTGATCTAAGAGTATTTTTCTCCTTGGATCCTTGTTTTGACTTTACAATATATGCAATGCAAGTATGTTCTCATATTTATCCCTACCCGAGCTCCACATAAGCTTTTAGAAGTAGGCAAAAAGAAGGCAAAATCATCATTGCCTTTGGTGAGGATCCAAAAATACTACATATAAAAAGTGATTTGAGAGTACTACAAAAGGAGAAGGTAGGCTATGTGTTGTTTCCAAAATCTTAAAATGTTTCTCCAAATTAGCTTGACTGAAGGAAGATGGTGATCTGTTTCAAGCCGTTCCATTCTTCAACCACCCAAAGTTTCATGGTAGACACTTTGAATCCTGCAGTACATGCATGATTGCGAATGGTTTTATGTTGATGACTTGTCCTAAGGTTATGTCTTGAGTAATCCATCCTTTTATCAGGGATGAGTAAAAGCCTAAGTGTGGGGGAGTTTGTTGATGGTAGTTAACATTCATCACAAACCATCAATATAACTTGCATAAATGGCTAAAATGGATCACCACTATAGACTTAGGGGTTTAAACTAACAAATTCTACGTGTTTTGGTGAATCTGTATTTCCAGCATGATTTAATTAGAAAACCGTCAAGGGGGACCTATTCGTCAAAGAAAAACATGGAATTCCGCCGTGGGATCAATGTGGGAAGGTTCCAGAAGACTCCAAGAGGCTCTCCACCGAAGCAGGGCTTGACCCATTAACATGTGGGGCCAGCCGGCCCCACCTAGAGGCTGCCCAGCCCCTGTGGGCCCAACTGTCATCCTCTTTGTTATGTTGGTTCTCCACCGCCTCCTAGGATGCATCTCCACCGTTTATTCAAGTCGGTTTGATCTGAGGGCTCAGGATTGACACTCTGACCTATATATACCTGCCTTAACCCCCCTAGAGCATTCCACATTTGATCCTAAGAGCAGAGAAGCTGAAAACCCTAATTCATATGTCCACTAAGATCAAGGCTAGCAATCAAGAGAAGATTAGTCCTTGATAGGATCTAGTCTTGTATTAAAGATAGAGAGATAGAGTGAAAGATAAGAGTTTTGGAGGAGTTTCGGCCTATCGGTGCTCTCTCTACGGCTTGTACCCTGGCGGAATCAAATTCTTCTTGAGCTTGCTTCTGAGATTTCTCTAGTAATCGACTTCTAATTCAAGTAAGCATCTTGTTCGTATTATTCTTTAGGTTTGCGACTCTCTTTTGAGTACTTGAATCCTTGTAGCTCCTGGGTTAAAGTAGTATTCATAGTGTAAGCATGGTACTTAGACTCGGTTACTCATGGATTTACCCTATTTTTCGGATCGGTGGTAGCTCACGAGGGTGATTCTTATAGCCTCATTAAATCCTCTGTAGTCCACCTCCCGTTAGTAGGCCTAGCAGGACTTTGTTACTATAGGAAACATACTCTGCTTGTGTTTTCTCTAGTAATATGCCCAGAATTGAACAATAGAAGAAAAAGCTTACCGGAGTTAGAACTAGAAGATCATATCAGTCTCCTTTATGCTCCTATTATCTAGCCTTGATTGTGAAGTTGGGTTAAGTTAGAATTGGTTAATCTCACCCCCATTCCTTTGGGTTCGATATAAAACTGGGTTACTCTCGGTGAAGTGCTACAATAGTATAATATCTGTACGCTTGCAGATTATTCTATGTACATTAATTTATACCAATAATGATTTGGCGAGATCTTTTGTGATGTTTTGGATTGTACTCGTGTGATTGCATTCATGCGAATTAGATAAGATTATGTTCAAATTGGGGTGATCTTTTATGTCATAGATGTTGTTACTATTTCCTATAAAGTTAGTCAAACTTAAAATTGTAAATGACACAGTAACAAGCATCATAAGAAAAAGAGGAAAAACTACAGAGGATATTGTCCGACTTTCTTACGCGTGCAGGGGTGCATACTCGTACAGAAAAAAATACGATCAACACCAGCAGACTTTGAATAATGAGATACACATATAGTTGATGTTGTTGCCAAATTAAAATAAAGTCACCAACCACAAATATACATGCATAGATGTTTAACATAACTTAACATGCACTAATTTAGAATTAATCTACCACATTGTTATGAATAACTTATCGCACTCCTGTGAGATCCTACACTCCTCACTGCAGAACCTAGACCACAACTCCCATACTTCAAATCCAATGGGCTCGCCGTAGCCGCCGCCTGTGCACTGATGATGCCCGTCCTGGCAATGAACGGGGCAAATACCGGGCACTACATCATGTGGCACCATGTCCTACAACCGCCAGTACACGTCGTGTGGAACTGCGGAAAGGTCTCGTTCTTCCACGATAGTGTAGCCAGCCCCGCTTCGTCAGCACCTTTGGGCTCCCTCAATAGGCACCAGGCAATGTCATCATTGCCGCCGCTGGTATTGGACCTATAGAGCACGAGGGCGTATACGTACATACCAAGTTTATAGCCTACCTCAGCAGAGTGCTGAAGCCATTCCATCGGTGGCGTCAATGACCTGCGGGCTTCCACAGAGATGGGATGCAAGCCAGCAAGGAAGCGGGCCTCTAGGTTGCCCACGCTGGCCAGCCTAGTGGTGAGCAGGACACGATAGTCATCGTCGTAGTAGTGGCGCTCCTAGAAACCTTGATGCTACAGCACCCGGCGTAGTGGTATGCGCCGACCAACTTCAGCGACGCAATGTTGTCCATGGGGGCATATGACTATTCAGTGACGCAGCCAGCGATGTCCCCATCCAACTCCATTGGGAGCCGATCCATCATGACTTAGCCGAGGAAGAAGTAGAGTCAGAGCGCACGCGCGACGAACGACGACGGATGCGGCGTCGGAGCAGAGTACGAATGCACGACTACGACGAGGTAGAGAGCGCTAGGGAAATAGGGCCGACGGTTTATGTAGGTGGAGACTCCGCATTCTTGAAGGATCTCATATACCATGTAAACGTGTCTTGGGGAAGTGAGTCATCCAATGCGACGGTTCTTTCTTGAGGAACCAAATGGTGCCTCGCTCGAGTTCTAGGTGTCCGTGTAAACGTTTCTCGGGAAAGTGAATCATAGCAAATCTTGTTCCCTTGTTCCCTCCTATTTAGGTGCTCCATGGTCGATTGGGGGTGCTTCAAGTTTGCGAGGTGCTCGTTCAGGGTCTCTATGTTCCCTTGTTCTTGGAAAATTAGCAAAGGAGTAAACAAAGTTCCATTCAATGTATGTCACGTTGCATGGTGCACTAAAGTCTGACCCATGTTGTTTCTCAGCGGTCGAACAATCCTACGTGCCGAAGCAGATTTAAAAATAGGGACTAAACTTAAAATTGTAAATGACACAATAACAAGCATCATAGGAAAATGAGGAAAAACAAGACTTGCTCGTATGAACTCGTCTCTGCATGGTTCTTGAGAGTTCAACAAATTTTATCTAATACATGCAAATAAGAGGAGAGCAGTGCAATCCCACTACTCAACGTCATCCAACTACTACCAATACATACCAGTTCTAACTATAGATGATTAACATGACTTCATACTTGAGAAGAGGAGCTTTTGACCACCATGACATGCTTGAGACTTGAATCCCTAGGGCGGTTCTCTTTCTGATCTGTATAATGGTAAACATGCATAACGGAATTGATTTGATCAAGTCTCGCATTGATGTAATGCCTAACGGAGGAGACACATAGCTATTCAAATTATACAGCACACGCAAGAAAGTCCGAGCATTGTAAATCTGACCGGGCCAGACACATCTCACATTCTACTAGAATATTCCCAACATGTCCAGTATTGGAAACTGTTCGACCAAAACCTAGAATCCGGGACAACATTTACTGGAAGCCGTCTAAGGTCCTCTACATTCGAAGCGATTCACTTCAAACTCTATCTCATAACTGTCCCCCAGTTCATCCTGCAGCTATTTAACACTGGGTTCCCTTTAAATCGTTCTTGCTCCAACTCCAAACCAATTCAAATCATAGCTACAAACTAAGCCACTAGACCCTTAGAGTAGCCATCGCCATGAGCTCCGCTAGAGATCCTGCTGCCTAGTTTCCCACTTTCAAACACCGCGTCAAGTGTAGAATGACGTCGAAGAACATCTTCACCATCAACGATCCATCTGATGGGAGTGTCCTTGAAGCATCATTCTATGTGCCCTAGAATGCACGGTGACCAAGACCCTCAAAGCCAATGGTCACTGGTTGCCGGTGTACCTCCTATACAAAAGAGGCAGCGCCACCAAGATCTTGAAGGCGAATCAAGTCATGGGCATCCCCGACGACTAGGAAGGTGTCCATGATGTCCTTCGTGGCTTGATGAGGACATTCATGCAGCTGCAGCAACTCAATCTCACCGACGAGCAGTGGGAGGACATCCTTCCTGAGCCCAAGGTTCTTGAACTCGTGGCCATGGCACGCGAGGCCTACCGGGATGGCTACATCACCCACGCCATGCTTGAGCTTTGGGTCGATGAACAGGTGAAGTTCATCGTGTCCGAGGCACTCTTGACGCTCTGTGCGGAGGCGGAGGCGACACCAACGGGGTGTTAGGACTGCAACATCTGCCTGGAGGATGAAACATCTAATACTGTAGTCGGCCATGCTATGGAAATGCCTGGCTACAGCCATGCATTCCACCACAAGTGCATCACCAAATGGTTCGGCCGGAGATCCACCTACCCGATGTGCCGATGAGATTTGTCTATGTATCTTGACCCGGCAGTGCAGAGATTCCTCTCAAACCTCACCGAAGAGGATTACTGATTAAGCTCATTGTTTTATGTTGTATAAAATACTTATTACACATCATACTCCTTTATATATATTTGGTCAAAATTCAGAATCTTTGAGTAAATCTCTACTCCGTCGCTCTAACCATCGCGATCTCATCTGCAACTCCGCTTGTTTTATTTCCAACCTTCCCAAAGCTCTCACATTCAATCTACAGATCTAAACTGTGAGGAACATGTGGTTGCCTTCTCATACATGTGCTCAACACATAAAATACATGACTTTGTGCCATTAGGCCAGACACCCAAGGCAACAAAAAAACAATCAGAAACCAACTGAGGAAACTCCGTCCACTACAACATCTTCACTGTACGAGGCGTTCAAAAAAATGGAAGGCGGACTTTCTTGCTTGTTCAATAACATTTCAACACCAATGGTTCTTCTTTTCTGCATTAGATTAAGACCAGACTTGCTCCTCGATTCAAGGTTCTGGTAAGTTTAACAAAGTTTGACAAAGACATGCAAATAACACAACATACTATATTAGCAAGGGTTCCTACTACATGAGCTCAACACATACACTACATGACTTCATGATATCCCATATATCAAAGCCAGTCATGGCTAATACTACTACTACTACTACTACTAGTACTACTAGTACTACTGATACAGGACAACGAACAGTACCCAGAGCACACAAAATCTCAATGTCGTCGAATCGGTTTGGTCTTGTTGAGATAGTAGAGGTCATAAGGACTTTGGATCAAGTTGAGACGGTGAACTATCTTGAAAATGAAGCAGTCTCCACTGATGTCGACACTATAGTCGGAGAGCCGATGGGCATCTACAACAGTGCTGCAAAGCACAAAGATTTTTCTAGAATCATGGTCTTCAACAACTCTGGTAATGCGTTGTTGCCCAACAACCGCACGAACAACAACTTCAACGATTAGGCATTGTGCAGCTCGGTCATGTACACGACGCTCCCAAGTCACAAGCAACCTGTTCTGTTCTCCTAGCTCCACACCTAGCTGTGAATGCGGCAGGAAAGCTGGACTCAAGAAGGAATCGAGAAAAGGAGCTTTTGACCACCATGACACGCTTGAGACTTGAATGCCTGGTGCAGTTGTGGTGGGTCTTTTCTATACTTTTTGACTCCAATCCAAACAGTCACAACAGTCAAAGGACAGACTGGTTGCTATGACATTCAAAACTGATGACCCTTTATACTGTGTCCTATGAGATCAAATATACAACGACCAGACTTTCTTGCATCCGCAGTAAAATTCAACAGCTATGTCTCATCCGTTATGCATTAGATCTAAGAAGATACTTGTTGAGATGAACTCCTTGATGCATGGTTCTTGCAAGTTAAACAAATTTTATCAAAGACTACTGATATGTGTTTGGTTCTTGCAAGATCAAAGCCACTCATGACTACTAATACATGTTTGGTTCAACAAACCGAGGCATAAAGCAACCCTTGCGTGGTTACGATGAGTGAATTGAATGCATGAGGAAAGCCTCTATAGTTATTTCACTCCAAGCATTCACAGCAGTCGAGGGGCAAACTGAAGAGTGAAGATGAGTTGCTCTTGCTTCCGTAAGCAATTTCTCTTGCTTGGTTTTGCAGAGCAGCAGCTAGCTAGAGATGGCTATATGGTTTCATAGGTCCTGATCATCTGCACTCGCTCGGTTGTGGCTAAAGATGCCACTTCAAATCCAACTACGTTAATAGTACTTCATGCATACAGCCATAGCTAGTGCTGCTGTTCTTTGTAGCACAACTGATCTGGTAAAAGTTCTAGTCACAGCTCAGTAGCAGAGTAAAATGTCCAGGCTGGTCAAATTTACATGACTCAGACTATGAGGCGTGCATAGGATTTACAAGAAATAGGTAAACATCATTTCATCAATACTGTACTTGTCTATATATATTTGGTCAACAAAGTTTAACCCACCTAATACAAAGTTCAGCAAAAGTCCATTTACATGGATATTATTACAACAAGATAAACTAAAGAACATCACAATGTCTCCAGTGAACATTGAAAACACAAATTAGAACATCAGTGTTATGAGATACTAAATGTTAACATCATCTGACCTTGTTGCTACCGCTCAGTTGAGAGGAACTGCATGAACTCCACCAATCCCTGAATCATTCAGACAGATTGTAAGATAACGGATACGATGAGAAAATACTTCTGCACCACAGAACTCATAGCGGTATGAAAGCAAAGTCTAGAGATCTACATTTGAACGAACCACAACAAACACATAGGGTCCTAGATGATCCTCAGTAGGATGGTAGTTTCGATGGCCAAGAACTTGATGAACAACTATAGAAGCAATGTACTACCTACTGTAAAAGTTAGAATGCACTGCAAGCACTACAACCCTTGTTTGTAGGGCATGGCGAACACGAAGCTCACGGAAGACATAGCGATACACAAACATGTCCCAAGAATGATCATAGTTATCCATGATCTATGTAAAAAAGAAAACAATATGCAGAAAAAACAAAGAACAAAGATGCCCAGTAGTAGGGAGGAGGGCAAAAGCTTTGGGATGGAATTGAAGCAGGAGCTCTGGAGAGCCTTCCTCTCACCCCTTGTCTCTGCTATTATATAGTTCGCGGGTCGTGGACCACCCCATGGCCCATACGCGCATGGCTACGCACCCACGACCCCACATATATGGCGCAAGAGTTGACACAATCTGTATTTTGTTGTTTCATCAAAACTATGATCCGGCCTGTCAAGATTTCTTTAGTATTAGACTGTCTTAGGCCTTGTTTGGATGGACTGTGACTAGTTAGCCATGGCTAAAAATAGCCAACTAAGAATCAACCAATTAGTTGTGTTATTAGTCCATAACTATTTGAATCCTCAACTAATTGTTGGGTTCTATAGATTAGAACTAGTTGTTAGTCCCTGGTAGTCGGGTTCTATGGACTACTTGGATGGCCCCTGTATTTCATAATGATCTAGATCGTCTATATTTTGTAGGGTCAGACTATCTTAGGGTCTAGAAAATTTCAATATCTATACACCCACATCCTTCGATCAGAAAAGGGCAAACACCATTAGTATAACCAGTTACCAAATGACCAAAGGACCTGAGCTACACAACGCTCAACAAAGTTTAACCGACTTAATACAAAGTTCAACAAAAGTTAACACAGACATGCATGCAAATAAGACTTCACATACGGTCATCCCATAGACCAAGCTTAGTCATGACTTGTACTACTGATACATCCCATAGATCAAGAGTCGAGACGGGCGTGCAGGATGTTGTCGTCCACGTTCACCTTCGCTAAGACGGCATTAGCGATCGGCTCGAGGCTCACGAACAATGGGGACATACTCGAGCCATGGAAAGTACAACACCGACTCCAACTCCAACTAGGAGGAGGACGATCTAGAGTACTGGCGAGTCGGCTAATCGTAAGAGCGCTAACCAGGAGGAGGATGCTTTAATTTTTTTTCTCTTCTCGAAAACTCAAAGCACCTTAGAATCCATGACTACTTTTTCTAGGTGGAAAATCCATGGGGATATCATTTGAATAACCCATTTAGTTTTTTAGAGGGTTTTCCATCCCTAGGCATGCCTTCCCCTTGCTTCCTAATTATAGGCCTTAGTTCAAATAGCCGCAGATGCAATCACACACACAAAAAAAATCGCCAGTTGCAGCACAATAAGCTGCAGCGAGCAGGTTATTTTTTTTCTTTTTTTGGTAATCTTTAGATATCAAATTCATAGATCTTTTAATTGTTTATTATTATGTTCTTTTAGTTTTATGTTTATTTATATTATGAAAAAAACCAAAAAGGCAACAACTAAGGCCGCCTGAAATTCCGATCTCTGCTGAGTAGACGGGGCGGTCTGCCTCGCTAAAAATTTGATTTCACACCGCACCAATCAGTACAGCCAACACGCACCGAAAATTAGATGTCTCCCTTTTGCCCCCTACATGGAAAATAGGTTTACCACGCCATCGATTTTAGACAAGGGCATTTGTTGTAATGTAATGACGACATAAAAGCACAAAGAGTCGCCATCTTCGCCTCCATCTCAATTCTCCAGCCGCACCGTCTCTCCTCCAGCACCAAATCCTAGTCCCATGGCTTCCCTTTGCACTCTCTAGCCACCCCCTCTGCCACCCTACTCTAGACCCTAGGTTCCATCAGAACAGCAGCTCGACTCCCTCTCCACTCTCCAGCCGCACCCTCTCTCATACATTTCCAAACCCTAGCCAAAACTAGATCCCCTTCGATTCATCGATAGTAGGTCGATCAGCTGATGGCGGAAGGACCGCCTCAACATTGGTACAAGTTGAATCTAGATCCCCTACCTAGCTCAGCACCTGTCATGACCGATCAAATATGATCCCTAGCCGGGGCCAGATCTGGTACCCCTTCGTCAACACCAGCCGCACCAGCTCCACGACTGTGATGACAGGATGGTGGTACCGACAACAAAGCAAAGCTAGGGAACATAAAGGAAGAGGTACCCAAATTCCTTTTATGATGTGTGCTCTACTATAGTGGTTGAACCAAGGATATATAGATAGCGATGGGGTTACATATTTCCTATAGTTGAGTGTAGCTGACATGTGCTTTATTGGATTGATGACTTCCATATAAGCTATAGTTACTAGTTAGGCGCTTATTTGCATACTCTTTCTCTACTATGTTGACATTCCGTAGAAGCTTTAGTTAATAAATGCCTTTGTAATCTAGATGAACAGCCACAAATTGCTTATGAACGAGCACGGGATGCACAAATCGCAAGGAATCATAGAAAGACGGAAGAACTTGGAATACAACATGTGGGCCCAAAACTTATGTCTCCAAAGACAA